GGGCGGCCCGGCTACCGTCTGGGCGGGGCCGACGTGGGCCGTCGCCCTCCGCTGGGGATGGCGTCCACCGCGCGCGGCCGCCGCGAGGCGAGCCTCCCGGCCTCCTCGCGCGCCGCGGCCAGCGCCTTGGCCTCCCGCGCGTCCCTGCATGCACGGCAACAGCGTGGGCGCGTGGGGTGCGGGCGGCTGTCAATGTCTGGTGGTGGAGTGACGGCTTGTTCTATGGAGCAATTGGCGCTTCCGTACCTCTAGACACACACAACCCGCTGGCTAGCAGGCGACACTTTCAGGCACGCGTGCAACACTGCTTTGCCCATCGCCGGTCAAACCAGCAACCAGGCGTGCGGCCACCGCCCGCTCGGGGGCGCCAACCTCCATGCCTCGCCGCCCACGCCCTCGCGCCGCGCACGCAGACGTGCCACGTCAGCGCGAGCCACCCGGCCGCCCCCACCTGTCGATGCGCGCCTTCTGCAGCCCCTCTGTGCGCCGCTGCCCGTCCTCCTGCAGCCGCAGGAAGAACGCGTCCATCTCCTCCTTGGAGACCACCTGCTTGCCAAGATGACGTTGATGGGCCGCGGCCGCGTGCGCGGGCTGATGGTGGCGTCCACTGTGCATCGGTCAGTCGAGGGAGCCTGTGTGCGCTCCGGCTGCCGACCAGAGTCCCGCAGCCAGGCAGCCCCGCTGTCAATTAAGGCCATCGAGTGCCATGAAACATTCACTTAAATCTCTTCTTTCCTGTGAGCCATAACAGTCCTCACGCCAGCCGTGGACAGCAAAGCAGCACAAGGTGCGCCTAAAGAGGTCGGGCGCACGCGCGCGCGCGCGCGCACACACACACACACACACACACACACACACACACACACACACACACGTGTCCTTGCGGAGGTGCGTGCGTGCGAGGCCGCAAGGGCCGCACCTTCCCGCGCTTCGCTGTCAGCCTGCGCCACGTCTCTAGGGCCTTGGCCTCGCGCTGCCTCTGGTCCTCCTCAGTGAACTCAAGGAAGCGCTGGGACCGCACGGCCCTTTTTGGGGGGAGGGGTGACGGGGCAGAGGCCGTGGTGGCGAGGAAGACGTCGTGAGTTCAGCTGCGACGCACCCGGCTGGCAGCAGCTTTGGCGACGGGGCAGGGTGGGAAACAGACGGGCAGGATTCCAGGGCGCGTGCACGCTTGAGGTGAGCGGCTGCGGCGAATGCGCGTCAGCGCTAGCGCGCAGCTAGAATGCGGCTGGGGGGCCTCACCTGTAGACCGCCACCTTCCTGGCGGACTGCAGGCGCGCCAGGCTCTCCGCCGGCAGTCCGGCCAGCAGCTTCACGGTGTAGGCCAGCCAGTCCGTGGGGCCCTTGGCCGTGGCGGCGCCGACACCTGCACCAGTGCCCTCGTCGTTGCCCTTGCCCGCGGCGGCGGCGGCGGCCTCTGCGGCCTCCCTCTCCTGAGCCATGGCCGCAACCATCAGAGGGCCGAGGCCGTCGACGCTGCGAAACGCGATTCGGCAGCATCAGCAGGGGGTCAAACTGGCGGCACACTGATCAGACTCACGGGCTCACCAGCCCCGGGATTGAGCAGCCCATTGCCACACAGCCACAGGCCGGAAACTTGCAGGCCCCCCCCCCTCCTGGGCCCTGCAAATCAACAATGTCACGCACGCCGCCCCTGAACTTCCAACCAGCATCCCTACGTAGCCGCTGCCCCCTCAAATCAATCCCCGCCCCCAGCCCCCCTGGCCAGCAGCGGCCCCCTCGACGCGCGCACCTCCAGGGCGCCTTGCGCCAGTCTATCGCCGGCGGCCCCGCAGTCCTGGCCTCCTGCGGCCGGTCGCGCTCCCTGTCGCGCTGCCGGTCCCACTCGGCCTTGACCGCCGTGGCGCGTACAATTAGGGACTCCAGCAGCCCCGCCTCGTCACCTGGTGTGGTTGCATGCAGGACGCATTGAGGGGAACACGTGCGTGCGACGGTACATATCTGTGGTGGTTTTACGCACCGAATGCATGCATTCATCAATCGTCCAGAAATCCCCGCAATACTACAGCACGCCCCTTGACGAAAGGCAAGAGAAAGCGCGCGGCAGCCAGCGCTCCTTCTGCAATACCAGAGCGATGCGCGCACCGATGCGCAGCGATGCGCAAGGAATGCACGCCCCAAGCGCGTGCAGGGGCTCACCGGCTCTCGCGCCGCCCCAGCCCAACTGCGCAAACCATGCGTCCGCGGCCTTGGCGTCCCGCGCCTCCGCCGCCTGCGGCGTGCGCCCCGGGGCCGCAGCGGCGAAGAAGCGCTGCTGCAGCTCCTCCAGCCGCCCGTCACGGGTCCGCAGGTCGTTCCTGTGTATCGACGTAGATGCATCGCAGATGGAATGCATGCAACCAGCACGTACGTTTGTCTTGTCAGACGGTCGGTAAACGGGACAATGCTTTGCGTCTGCCTTCGCAGGTTGGCCCAAGCACAAGCTTAGGGCGTGCACGCCTCAAGGCGCCCTGTCAGTCTCCCCACCGCGCCTGATGAGGCGAGACGCCCTGCGACACAAAAAACTATGGATCCAGCAAGGATCGAAACGACTACCTCTAGGCAGCACCTGAAAACCGCCAATCACCTGTACCGCTCCATGAACTCCATCGTGCGCACCGCCGCCGCCAGGCCCGCAACCTTGGACCGCCCCCGCGCCGCCAGCAGCGCGCCCCTGCGGCTGTCTGACAGCAGTAGCTCCTTTGAATAGGACTCCACGACCTCATCCAGCGCCGCCTCGACTGCAAGGGCCAGATCCGCCCCGCCCAGATCGTCCGATCTGAGCGCCTTGGACAGGTCCGCACCCTCGGGAAGCGCGGCGCCCCACCGCGCGCTGCAGACGCGCGCGACGAGCTCGGCGTCGGCCGCCGCGCGCCGCCCCGCCGCCAGGGGGTCGGAGGGGTCGACGGCGGCGCCGCCGGCGCCGCCGACGAACTGGGCGGCGGCCGCCTTTTGGCGCCGCTGCGCCGCCGCGTGCCGCGCGCGCTCGCTGGCGGCGAGGCGCTCCAGAAACGTAGGGGAGCCGCCGCCGCCGTCCCCGCCGGACATGATGCGGCGGCTGCAGGCCAGTTGGGTTGCACGGGATGCGAGCCAAGCAATCAGTATTGGGGCTGCTGGTGGCTTGCTCCGTCACACAAAAGCCCTGGCGCTGGCAATCAAGACTCTGCATGGACTGTGCGGCACGCCCCTGCACAATTCTGTACCACCATCCATGCAGCCTGCCGGTCATCCCCCCGACAAGTCCCCACAGCCGCCCAAGACGGCCCGCCAGCTGCCGGCACCCCCCATCCAGCACCAGCAATTCAGGCCGGTCGATCATCCAGGGCCCGGCGCCCCGAACCCACCTCTTGCTGCTGATCTGGGGTGTGAATGTCTCGTCCACCTCGGGGCCGTCCCAAGGCCGCCCATGGCGCTCCGGGTGCGGGTCCGCCGCGCGCGTCCCATGGCCGACGTGCTGCCTGCGGCGGCGGGGCGGG